TTTTCACTCACTAACCGAAGTTGGGAAAGAGGACATGGGCAAAAGAAAATCAGTACAAGAAATTCAGAGACAGAGAAGGCTAGGACAACAAAGAACTCAGAAATGTACAAGGTAAAGCCTTCCTGACAATCTAGTTACTCAGCAGATACTTAATGTGTTGTTTGTAACCAATGAGGAAGACAAGGAGCAGATACATTAACTTCTCTCCAGAAGGTTTAATTGTAGCAACTCTTTGTAACACTGTCAACAGAATGCTTTCAAAGTTGCCAAACCATGGATTCCACCAGTTAAGAAAAATGTCATTTCATATTGTGAATGTTGATTAAAAACTTTGTCACGGGACCAGCAGTTAGCGTAATGGCTATGTCGCTGGACTCCCACGTAGTCGACCGCAGTTCGAGTCCCGGACCTCGTGGCTTAAACTCACGCCAGGCGCGTGTGCGTGCGTGCCCAAGATCCCGAGAGGAGAATGGAGGAGAAGTGATTGCGGCGTGGCCAGCCCCCCTGGGGGGTGATTTCTCGCTTTCTGTCTCTCTGTCTCTGTCTGTCTGGCGAGCGCACGCACCCTATAGCAAAAACCTCTCCAAAAAAAAGAAAAAAAAAAAAAAAAAAAACTTTGTCACAAGCGTTTATTCTATGGGGGAAAATGACCTCTTTTCAGAAATTTTATTTGAAATGTAATGTTATAACTGATCTCCATTTGATGGCACAAATCAGAGCATTGTTTTAATTCAAGTTCTTTGTCCGTTTCTTCGAGTTCACTCAACAGTTACTGTAATGACTCCATTTCAGTTTGTTTTTTAACCACACTTAAGTAATACAAGCCACCATGTCAGATCGATGGCTGAACAGCCACAGATTAACAATCACATTCTCACAAGGAAATGACTTTATTTTTTAAATTCATTATTCATTTTGGTGGGCATAGATTCTTGGTCAGTTCATAAACGTTCGTGAACCGGAAAGGAGCTCATGCTCATTTAGAAGCAGACACTGAACAGTTCGGGTGAGCCAGGCGGAGCAAACGCAGAGCGGTGCTGTATGCAGGGCGCCCTGGTGTCCGGGTGTAATTCTCCGTCCCTTCTGTGCGAGGGGAGGCAGCCAGAGCCGTTCTGCAGCTCTGCTGAGCATCGTCTTGGCAGTGTGTTGGAGCATCACACTGCGTCCCTTTTGTTAACTTGCTCGCCCGCCCTCTTTCTTTCCTGTTTAATGAAAGGAGCTCCTCCGTTTGCTGGCACGGTGCCTATGGTGATGGCAAACAGGCTGTTACTGGGTTTTAGTGGCATTAAGGACTCTTTTCCAGATGCTTCCTTGTAGTGTTCAGTTGCCTTTTTTGTGCCCGGAGATGATGGGTATCTTGGAGAAGGTGGAGCTGGGATGGGTTTCAGACAGAACACATCTTTTCCATAAATCATTCTGAAGAAAAATTGACCTTTCTTTCTGTAACACACCCTGCCGCGAGTAGGCTATATTTAATCAATTATTTAGAGCTTTGTCAGTGTTCGTTTCCTGTTCAGAGGGAGAAAAAGCCTCCACCAAACCCCTTCATAACCGAACAAGTACTCACGTACTTTTGTGACAGTGCTAAAGAAGTTAGACTACTGGTTTTGTCACTGAGACAACTCTGTTAGCAGGTGGATTAGGTGGCCGTCAGTGTGTCTAAGCAAGCTCGTAGGAAGGCAGGCAGTATGCACCAGGCCTCTGAGCCGGTTTTCAATAGGAGTGAAAGTTGTCCTTCCAGTGGGTGTCAGGTGACCAACTTTGCACCTGTCACCCCTTCTCAAGCCTTTTCCTTTGAATCAGTGAGCGCTTAGGTGCCCACTACTGAACTTCATGGTTCACCATGATTATTTGTTGTTCTTTTGGATCATCTATAATTTGAGCCACTTCTTTTGGGGCATTCTCATTGCTCAAAAGACTGTTTGATGAGGAAGCTACCCCAACACAGGCTCACCCATCAGGTGTGCCCACCTGTTGGAGTCAGGAGCTAACCATGAGAGAGGTGGTCTGGGAGGTGGCTGGGCCGTCTTTGTGGGTGTCTGTGGCACTTAGCATGATTCATGGCTATGCTTTCAGCTGCATGATCCTGACCTGGTTTTCCAGCCCGCTGGTCTGTCCGTGAGCCTCACGCTGTCCTGGAAAGCATTTCTCTTCTGCTTTGTGAATCAGAGTGTGGTTACTGCAACAAAGAATCTCAACTGATGTGTTTAACACATCATCATTTCTAGTCCCCCAAATATCCCTGTTTAATAATGCTTTTGAAGGAAAATGAATACAGATTGTATATCCCTTATTTAAAATGCTTGGGACCAGACGTGTTTTGGTTTGGGGATTTCTTTCAGATTTTGGAATATTTGCATATGCACAATGAAATTTTAGGAATGGGAATCAAGTTGAAACACAACATTATTATGTTTCAAACATGATCCAGGCCTTGTGGAGCCCCCGTCTGGAGACTCAGACAGGTGGCATTTGCATGTTGTAACTCCCCAGTGAGCCGAGCACTGTGGAGACCCACAGGAGAGGGATGGGAGGAGCTCACGGAGCGAGGAGCTCAGTAGCTGAAGTATGAAAGGCCAGATGAGGTGAGCTGTGAATGCCCAGGACAGCCTTCAGGAGAGACCAGCACCTGCAGGAGCCTTGATCAGTGGGTCGGGCCCGGAGGGTTCCAGGAGTGCTGGGAGCCAGAGCACCAGATGTGTGGCCTTCTGAGGACGTGGGCTTCATCCTGTGGCAAGTTATTGCAGTGTGGTGGGGTGGGGTGCACCAATGGGCACTTGTGTACCTTTCGCAGATGGTGCAATGGCCCCCCAGGAGGCCTGACCCCATCCTAGGGGAGGGGTGTGGCCTGTGTGTATGTGTGTGTGTGTGGGGGGGTGGGGGTGGAGACTTGCAGGCAGATTTCAGAGCTCTGAGGTCCTTTTGAAAAGAGGACTCAGCTACAGGTGTGAGGGAAGAGTCTGACTCCTGTGTCCACAGTGTCTTCTGGTGTGTTCCTGCAGGACCTCCAAGCAGAAACACCCCTTGGGGATCTGTGGCATCATGACTTCTGGGGCAGTAGACTGAGCAGCAACAGCAGCCACAAGTCCTACCGGCCTCTCACTGTCCTGACTTTCAGGTGAGCTTTGACAGCCCTGGGCTCGGCAGGGTGTTGCAGCTTATACGGGGCCTTGTAGGTGGTCACGCGTCCCAGGGTCCCCATGCTAGGGCATCTACTCAGTGGTTCCTAGGGAGGTGTAGCCGCTCACATAGGTGGGTCTAACACAGGCTAACCTCAAACGCTGGGAGATGGGCACAAGGAGACTGAGAGCTGGACCTGCAGAGGCTTTCCCTCCCCACAACTCTGTTAGCAGGTGGATTAGGTGGCCGTCAGTGTGTCTAAGCAAGCTCGTAGGAAGGCAGGCAGTATGCACCAGGCCTCTGAGCCGGTTTTCAATAGGAGTGAAAGTTGTCCTTCCAGTGGGTGTCAGGTGACCAACTTTGCACCTGTCACCCCTTCTCAAGCCTTTTCCTTTGAATCAGTGAGCGCTTAGGTGCCCACTACTGAACTTCATGGTTCACCATGATTATTTGTTGTTCTTTTGGATCATCTATAATTTGAGCCACTTCTTTTGGGGCATTCTCATTGCTCAAAAGACTGTTTGATGAGGAAGCTACCCCAACACAGGCTCACCCATCAGGTGTGCCCACCTGTTGGAGTCAGGAGCTAACCATGAGAGAGGTGGTCTGGGAGGTGGCTGGGCCGTCTTTGTGGGTGTCTGTGGCACTTAGCATGATTCATGGCTATGCTTTCAGCTGCATGATCCTGACCTGGTTTTCCAGCCCGCTGGTCTGTCCGTGAGCCTCACGCTGTCCTGGAAAGCATTTCTCTTCTGCTTTGTGAATCAGAGTGTGGTTACTGCAACAAAGAATCTCAACTGATGTGTTTAACACATCATCATTTCTAGTCCCCCAAATATCCCTGTTTAATAATGCTTTTGAAGGAAAATGAATACAGATTGTATATCCCTTATTTAAAATGCTTGGGACCAGACGTGTTTTGGTTTGGGGATTTCTTTCAGATTTTGGAATATTTGCATATGCACAATGAAATTTTAGGAATGGGAATCAAGTTGAAACACAACATTATTATGTTTCAAACATGATCCAGGCCTTGTGGAGCCCCCGTCTGGAGACTCAGACAGGTGGCATTTGCATGTTGTAACTCCCCAGTGAGCCGAGCACTGTGGAGACCCACAGGAGAGGGATGGGAGGAGCTCACGGAGCGAGGAGCTCAGTAGCTGAAGTATGAAAGGCCAGATGAGGTGAGCTGTGAATGCCCAGGACAGCCTTCAGGAGAGACCAGCACCTGCAGGAGCCTTGATCAGTGGGTCGGGCCCGGAGGGTTCCAGGAGTGCTGGGAGCCAGAGCACCAGATGTGTGGCCTTCTGAGGACGTGGGCTTCATCCTGTGGCAAGTTATTGCAGTGTGGTGGGGGGGGGTGCACCAATGGGCACTTGTGTACCTTTCGCAGATGGTGCAATGGCCCCCCAGGAGGCCTGACCCCATCCTAGGGGAGGGGGGTGGCCTGTGTGTATGTGTGTGTGTGTGGGGGGGTGGGGGGGGAGACTTGCAGGGAGCTA